CCTGACCTGGCTCCTAGCGATTTTTGGCTTTTCCCGACGATGAAAGACACTCTGCGTGGTCGCACACTCACCAGTCGTGCCGCTGTTACATCAGCGATTTTCCAGTGGTCAGAACAGACTCCTACAGAAGAGTTCATAGCGGCCATGGAATGATGGCGTCGACGTTGTGAAAAATGTGTATGGCCGCAGAAGTTTCAAATTTTTTGTATGATTATTGTGTGAGAAAAAAATCGGAGACCTTAGAACTTGAAAGCACAACGTAAATATATACAACAGGCTTTTAGTGGAACAACGTCTAGGAAGCGGAAATTAGTACATGCATCTCTGAACCTCCGTATTCTAGTGTTGTGCAACGTCTGCCCACACGTCATTGGAAGCGGTTCAGGAACTTCGACACACGACTGGTGCTGTGAAACCTACTTCAAATGCACTAGCATTCAGCATCTGCTGATCTTCGAAGCAGCGTGGCCAAGTAGTCATTCGATAACCTAAGATTTGAGGCTTTCACAGCGGTGACTGCAGTCTGTAGCCACCTGTTCACGCTCGCAGAGTTTTCTACCCTGAAGATGGAGGCGATACGTTCCTCCGAAACATCTGTTTGCACAAGATCTATATGACTCCACATCCCAGAAGACGGAATTCTTTTTATTCGATATTGTTTGACTTCCAGCATTGAAGTCAATAAATTTCGTCACTTCAATGTACTTTTTTCTCCGAGGTCAGCTTCCATCTGATGTTTCTTTGAGTCTAGAAATAGGATTTTTATAGCAGGGGAACATAGAATTCGAATCTGACTTCTATAGACCCGAATACTATGTACGTACATTACATACAGAAGTGCACACTTCACAGCAATGCGCCTACTAGTGCCAACAGACTCATTCGTGTCCCGTTGCTGCAACAGTTGTCAGATTCAGCACAAACTCTTCAGCTTTCCTCGTTCTTGCATATGGAGGATAAAGGGGTGCAATATGCGTCGTGTTTTGAAGTAAAGTAACGTTTAGGATTGGAAACCCTGAACACAGAGTCTGTATCACATCAAATTAAGCACAAAATCATATATCCGTCATTTGTCGAGAGGTATTGTTTTCCCCACTTTTTAAAACATTCTTCATTCCCTGTCTGATTTACTTTGCCTCCTTGCACTCACGTTACAAACACTCGTACCACTAATCGCATTTATTAAGAATTGAATATTTAAACTACGCCATCGCATTCAATAGATACGCATTCCAAACCACCTAAATTACCGAAAATAAGAGTTCAACTGACTAGCAACAGCCGCGAATATCACTTTTACCTTAAATAACAGTGCCACTCGAATTGCATGTCCGTTTTTCCATTCTACTGTTAATTATTGTTACTGCGATTCTTTGGTAACTGATGCTTAGATTACAGCTGGATGGTGGGATGCAAGGCAGCGACCCTTATAAATATTGGAATCAGATTTGGTTTTATATTTATACTGCTTACACAAATTGTTCTTGGAATAAACTTTACTGCATCTGGGATGGAGGTAACACCAAGGCTCATACACATTGCGAAATACAGGTCTGCTTCGAACTTTAGCCAAGACGTTGGCCTATGTTAGCCACGTTATTAGTGTTCAAGTTCTGACGTAAAAATTCCGGATGTGATTAGAATACTCATTCCCAGGCCTCCTATAATTACACGAAATAACTTCAATTTCTTCATCTGAGGCAATTTCGTCTTAAATTTTAGCTATCAGATATACACTGTTATGTTCATAAGGGTAGCAGCCAAATCCTAGTCGAAGAACACGCAATTCTGTTGATACGAGTATAGACACGTTATGAATTTGTGCTTGATTCTAAGAAGAATGAATTGACGGTTACTCGTTACACTTATTGCATTTGAGTGAATTTTTATATCTTAGAGGTTATTCTTCTATAACCCTTTAACTGGATAGATTCTTTAAGCGATGAGAAATTAACTTGGCTGTACTCTACGAAAGACATCTTAACATCTTTTCAGAAGGATATAATCAATATTTATTCGGACACAGAATTTGAGAGAGCTGAATTGTTGGCAACGTATGACTCTTAAGGAAAACTGATACACAAAACTAAATGCGATGCTGGAAAAAAACACAGCTGGCTGCTTCTTTTCTTTAGAATGGTTCTGGGAAAGTCAAAGGGAAATACATCACTTGCAAGAGGGCAGAGAGCCCTACTGTCTTTGTGCTGTGGATGATTTCAGAGAACAGAGATGCCTACTCTGTCTCGCCTTTTTTTTTTCTCCTCAGGCCTGAATTTCGATATGCGGATATTTAGAGGATATTTATTATCAATCGATCTAGTTACATGTCTTGCAAAAGACTTGTTGCTTTGAAACAAGCACATATTTCTAACAAAGGATGTTTTCCTTCCACATAGCGTAACTGACCCATTCTGGAGCGGAGGTTAATTAGGAGGTGGGAGTTACAGGTTGAACTGCTCCGCTCCCAAAATGAGATGCTGTAAATGTAAGTATTGTTATATCAATGAAAAGTTAAATATTCAGTGATAAACGGAAGAAAATGTATGCAAAGAAAGGAGTTATTTCACAAATCTTAGTATCCTGGTATTCGCCTTGAGCTACTGACGCGAAGCATGGGAATGCTCATAATAACTTCCGAGTGACTGTTAAGATGTTTTGAAAACTTGGTTGGTGTAGTTCAGAAAATTCTTGAACCATGATAAACTAAGTCACATAAGTTGAGTGACTAGTTGTAGCATAAAAATAATGTTTGTCGCATTACCGTATTTACGCATGTATAGGCCGCGTGCGTGTATAGGCCGCAGCACAATTTTCAGACAGAAATTATAGAAAAAATAATTTTCTTGGAATATTATTTCAGGAGTAGAACACCCTGTATTACTAATTATGAATATAATTTTTTTAAATGAAGTGTGATTTCGAATATTTCGAATATAAGCAGCACCCCAGTTTTCCTCTTGAATTTTTGGCAAAAAATGTGCGGCCTATACATGCGTAAATACGGTATTTTATGTCCATAATTTCTTTTATATGAAATCCACCAAGTTCAACACTACCTGTAAACGGCACATAATGGAAGCGCTAGACGACGTGAAATCCTATTGTCAGACATGAAGTAAAGACAGAGTACTGCGATTTTGAAAGAACTGATATCCTACTAAATTAACTATAAGGAGCACAGCCTGTGTCATAAGTTAGTAGTGCCCCTTCTGATCAAGACAATCCCCATTTTGTATGCAAACCGAAACGTCGTTACCGTGCTCATGATAGCCGGCCACTGGTCCCTATCCTGAGCAAGACAAATCCATTTGACAGTCTCGCACAGTATTTCAATCTTCAGTCCAGTCTTCAGACTCGATTTCTCTAAGCTCGATTTTGATATTAGCCATGCATCTATAGTCTAAGCCTCTCACGTGCCACCGGCTCTCGAGACCTACAAACCTATATTTTTTACTCATTTATCATTTCCACTTCTGCGTTACGTATCCCTCCAATCTAATTCTCTTCACTAAAACACCCGAACAATACTACATGAATATCACAAAATAAGAAGCTCTAGAATATATCGTGTTTTTCACTAGCCTTTTACTCATCACTCTGAGATTAGTGTAAGAACCTGACAGCTAAAAATTATAAGCTATATTACATGTGAAATTGGGGCACGCGGTAGCGTAGTTGGTTGAGGCACTATGCCACAAGCCGGAAGGTCTCGGGTTCAAGTTCCGATGAGGTCACTGAATTTTTTTCACTTTACCTAATCCTTCCAGCCGCACTATGACCCTGGGGTCGACTCAGCCTCTAACAGAAATTAATACCATGAATATTCTTGGAATATTCTTGGGGTTAAAGGGCGGCCGGCGCGGAAGGCTGACAACCTTGCCGCCATCTATGAGCCGATTGTCTAGAAAATGTGGGAGCCTCAACATCTCACAACCCTATGGACCTCCACGGCCTGTTACTGGGATACCTTTTTTTTTATTTTTACATGTGAATTTAGATACAATGAAAGCTGACTTTATCAAAAAGAAGTGTAACTATTAACAACCATAACATAGCTTGTTTCTAAAGGTCAAGGTCCCAAGCAATATTTCAAATGCCACATGGGAGCATGCGCAATCCACTCCTGCACTGACTATTTTCAGTAAGTTCACAAACAAAATATAATTTAATATGAATTTGTTAGCTGTTTTCCCTTATCATGACGACAGTTAATATGACATGACTAAGTAATCTACAAATTAACATTTGCTACTTAGAAACATGTGCAAGTCTATACAATTAGATATTTAGAATATGTTGATAACACTAGGGGGAAAAGAAAGCTCTGAACTTAGGTAACAAACACATAGGCTATATAGCATTGAAAGGCATTTGGTATCTTGGGGCTGAAGTGGAGGTGGTATAAATGGCCTGTTCTTAGGTGTCACCAAGAATCCTCCAAGCAGCATTAAGGAAGATTACGAAGTCTTAGGTACAGTAACTCATTTCCGTCGAGATTCAAACCTTCAAATAGCCCAAGAAAAAAAAACAAAAGAGCTTTGCCACACCGTGAGGTTCGGCAGGAATTTACTGTAAAGAACAATTATGTGGAAACAATACACACTATTGCCCGAGTTAATATTTTGACCATTAAATGGGCCGCAATTTAATTCCACTATTCTCTCCGCTGATTGAATTTTAGTTGTTTCAGCATTTTGCACTGTCAACTTCGGGGTTTCAGGTGTTAATAATACTGTAACAATAATTCGCTTTGCAGGACGGCGTGACGTGACGGAAGTTCAACAGTTTCCATCCTCTCGCAGCATTCCAATTATCTGAGAACTGACATTGTAAAATGTCGGGTAAATTCAAGTAAATGGGAAACAAAGGTAAAGTCGCCACCTGTTGTTTCGAGGAACAGAATCGCCTGACACCCAATTATAGGCTCCAGGCAACCTGGAATGCCTGTTACAGCCCTCTTTATCGTCTTTCCTACGCGAGAAAATAGCTGTGCTACTTACGAGAGCGGTGTCTGCCCCTCCTACGATGGTGATACCCAAGTTAGTGGCTACCCGAGGTATCTCAATGTGGCTGATCTCCCCTTCCAGCACTGGCAGCCTGGTGATTCCTGCAGCACAAACACAAGCATCCATGTCAACAAACATCGCTACGGGGAGAGATTCAAAGCACTAGCAAGGAGCTTAAATGAGGGGGGCAGCTTTCTGCAGCTTACCTGTTCTCACACTCGACATACAATTGAACTCGAGGTCTGGTGACTACAGTGAACAGTAAGGCAGCGTCATAGCTCAAGCGGTTAGTAGCTGACTTCCCACCGCGACGGCCCGGGTTCGATCCCGGGTCTGCTAAAGTGGGAAGTGTGGTGGACAAAGTGGCGTTGGGGCAGGTTTTCTAAGAGTACTTTGGTTTCCCCTGTCAATCTTCATTCCACCAATTGCTCCACAATCACCCTCACCTATCATCTGGGGCTGGTACAATAGGCCAGAAGTGGCCGCAGTACAAGGGACTTAGTCCCACCCCACTAGCAATAAAAAAAATACAGTGAACAGTATGAACGGTTCAGATGAAGATAATAGTAATTATAATTTATTTATTTATTTACTTGCTTACTCAACAGCCTAACGGTCAACTGTAAAGTATGAACGACAAAACAAGGCAACTCATAACAATAAAAATGTAATAAGTACAATCGGGCCAGCTATTATGTGGCGAAAAATGCATGTACATATATAGTAGTATATAGTATATACAGTAAAATATTAGTTGCACTCGGTACGAATGTGTGTGTGTATATATATATCGTACAGAGTGCAATTAATATTTTGCTAAGAGGAAAGAACTATAAAAATAATTAAGAAAATTTTGGTTCCAAATACGTCAACGTCCATGCAAACAACATCAGCAAACCAAGCGCATCTTAGCAGGATAACTTTCACTGGAAGAGCATATACTAAACATAGAAAAGTTTCTCATATACCGAGCAGGAACTCGTAGACAAATAGTTTCCAAAGGAGGACAGAATTTAGAACCACAAATTTAATATTCATAATGTGTATGTATTAACAGTCTTCAAGTGCATACTCTCCCATCTACCAATTCTACACTACATGTTTCGGCAGTATGCTGCCATCTTCAGGTGTAAGATGGCAGCATACTGCCGAAACATGTAGTGTAGAAGCGGCAAATGAGACTGTATGCACTTGAAGACTGTTAATACATACACATTATGAATGTGAATCAGTGCAACAGGACGCTAAAATACAACACAATTTTAACTAATCTAGGGCACAAGCGCGACTTTAAGGACATGTGGAAAGATGCGATTAAAACAAAGGGCTGCAAACTTCTGCTGGATGCCTTCCAGTTTCTTAGCATCAGTAGGCGTAATAGGGTTCCAAACAACAGAGGCCCGTTCAAGGTAGGCCTATTCTAACTAGGCTGAAATGTAACAGATTAAGATATTCAAGAGAAGGTTACACAGCGAACAATAACGAACCACTGTAATAACTTATAAAAATACGCAGTCAACGTCATTACACAAATTAAATTTAGAATCCAGAAATACTCCGAGTTCTTTAATAGAGTCGATACGGGTTACAGAGGATTAAAAATGTTTACATTTATAGATCAATATGTTGATTTTCCCTGAGAAGAGTATAGCTTTAATTTTACTAACCCTAAATTTCAAATACTAAGCATTATAATAATAATTCAATTCAATTCGTGTTTGTTTACGTGCAAACATAACAGCACAAAGGCCAGTTACAAAGTTAGCATGAGTATATAGAAATACACCAAAGTAATTAAAGAGCAAAATACAATAATAATAATAATAACAATAATAATTTCATTATCACAAATCTAAGTTGCTATTGACAATTGAGAAGTGTAAAGTATAGATATTTAGAAATAATAATAATAATAATAATAATAATAATATGAAGGACGTAACACCAATCATATGATTAAGAAGCATATATTCGTGACATACTGTAGGAAAGTATTCTTGTTATGACAAAAGTTAGAGTTTGAACGTTTCCATTTCAAAGGAGGGTGCCCAATATTTTTAATGGTGGTTAGCTGTGTATTAGTATTTATTTATATTACCTGGATCAAAAGTTTTTTACCCTATAGGTTTTCCTTTGCTCGCATTGTAGCAAAATTTTCTTCACCATTCCCCACGTTATCGGGAGTGCCACAAGGCTCCACCCTGGGATCTCTTTTGTTCAGCTTGTTTGGTAACAATTTATGTGTCAGAATTCATCTTTCCGACGTTCTATTATTTGCTGATAATCTAGAAATATATCGTGTCGCAAAGCCTCCTGAAGACTGTAAATTACTACTATCCGATATTGAAAGATACAGAACTGGTATATTGAAAATTACATGAAAAGCAGCATCCTTAACACCACTATAATTTCCTTTTTACTTATGAAACTAACAGTGACCATTTTAATTGCTATGTTAATGATGTTTCAATTGTGCGTACTGATTGTGTAAAAGATCGTGGCATTATGTTAAATAGCAAACTGTATTTTTATCGTCATGTTGACTACATATATTATCTTGCATTAAATTTTCTATGACTTGCTCGTTTCTTTGCACATATTTTTTTCCTACTGCTTTAATTTAGTCAAAGCTTGAATATGCTTTATAGCCTGAAATAGGCAGAATATAATAAACTGCAAAACAAACAAAGACATTTCGCGCATTTGTGTTACAATCGATTTACTTTGTTCCTCGTAATTATTTTTAAATTCAGAATCGTTTCAACTCCAGGAAGCTTTATTATGGACGGCGATATCTCGAAGTTCTATTTCTTGCTAAAGTTTTCGAGGACAAAATCAACTGTTGTTCTATTATGGATACACTCTGTCTCCATGTACCCACAAGCACATTTCTACACATTTCATATGACTGACCTGCAGTGCTTGTGAGATGCTGCTGGGGTTGAGTACGAAATTCTACTGCAGTATGGCAGCGTGTTCTGTCGTTAGGGGGCCCTATACACGTACGAGTCTGGCTCGCGAGTCCGACTCGGCTCAGGTTCCAATGAGCCAAACTCGTCCGTGTGTGGTGAAATTAATCTGGGCCCCTGCTCCTCGCCGAGGCGGACTCGCGAGCCAGACTCCTACGTGTATGGGCCGCCTTACTCTCATTGACAGAAAGACTTATCGAAACATATGAGCCTTTGCAACCTGTTTCCTTAGTCAGCCGAAGTACCCAACACAATTACTCCCAAAATGACAGTAGCAGGTGTTGGCTGCTATTTCTGCAGTAGTAAGTTCTATAATTTTTGGAAAGCAATACACCGCATGGGGGGACAGCCTGCCTCCGTGGTTGAAGTAGTTAACGAACTAACAATAAGACCAGGAGGAGAAGAACGAAAACTGCTTGACAAGCGAAACTTTTGTCTGTTCTTTGTTTTAAAGAAGAGACGTTATCAATTTCAATACTTAAATGTGCCCTCCCTACTCTCCTTCATTATACCTCGTTCATCTCCCCTCTCTTCTTAAATTTCGTTTCGGGATTTCTTTCCAAAAATATGGTGTCTCTGTTTGCAGACTTTTTATGCTGATAGCCGATAGAATTAAAATATCAACTTGAATAGTAACAATAAGGGTGCATAATCAAATGAATTAAATCATCAACAATAGGAGTTAGAGTTGATTTAATTTTATAACACGTAACTGAATTATCAAATTTACAGTCACAACGAATCTCTCTTTCCCCGGATTATGGAATTAACTCAGGATCATAGAGACTCTGGGTTTGATTTTGTTAAACAGTCTGGTTAGTTTCACAATCTCTCCAGGAAAGTGTTGTGACTATTATTGTGCAGTTAAGCATGAAAGAAAATTCTGTAATATGGGGTCGACCGTGGCAGAAATATGATGAAGTTAACTAAGCTGAAAGGCTTTATTAAAGACACTAAACTGCTCAATTTGAGAACGGAAGGATTTTTTTTTCAGTGTCTGAAAGTGTAAGATTTCTTGTATTCGTTATGCCTGAGCTGATATTTTCCGAACTTATGTGCATGTAAGGACTCCTTAACGTCAAGTGAACAGCGGTAGTGTAATTGCAGCTTTGAATTCGAAATAATGGGAGGGAGGGGGTGTAGAATTGTTTGGAAGAACTCTGTTGGATTTATGTCACCTTTCGAATGATATGTTTTGTGAATGGAACAAAAACACTTTATCGTCAGTCACACTTTCGTCCATGATATTCATACAACCACTGGTGTGCTTTCGATGTTTCTGATGTGCCATGTAGCTGCAGGTGGAATGGACACATTCAAAACACTCTCTGACCGAGGGTGTCAAATTTGTAGGCTTTCGAGGGACGTGCGTTCTTTTAAGGAGGGGGAGGATAACAGACCGACCGGCGTCAGCTGTACCACTTCTTCCATACGACAATAGTCCCCCCCCCCGCACTCTGAAGATGCCTGATGGCGCCCACCTTCTACCCACCGCGGAGATCGATAGAGATGTTGAGTGCCTCGTTCTTTGTCCCCTAACTTTCAGCTCTTCCTCTCAGGCGAGCTGGAGGCTGTGGTGAATCTGCACGGCTCAACCAATCGTTCCAAATAGCCGAACTGGATCTCTCTGAAGGAACAGGCGCGATAACAAATACTGAATGAGAACTTCATGGCTAGAATAACAATGAAATGGCCTCCTAAAATATTAAATCAATGAAAATATATTTAAGAAAAGTGTGATATTCACACAATTGTTTTCAGAGTTACGAACACAAACCTGAACAACAGATGTAGCTACATTTCATTTCACTGATGGCCCTTTCCTTTGAGAGGAACTGTAGAAAAATTATTTTATTGACTCCACGAGGGCATGTGGCTGCTCATGTCGGTCAACTAGTGATGTAGTTCTCTCAGAGGTCAATAAGTGTCAGGTAGCAGCTTCGAAAGTTTAGGTTTCCGCGGCGGTAAATATGAGGAGTGCTATCTTCTGGGATTTAGATGAACTTCACCAGACTACACGGTATCACATCCTAGTATATAGTGCTCTTTAGGGACCAGGCAAGTAAGGTACACTACATGTATAAAAATGTAAAATAGGGTAAAGGGGTCAAATAATTCCACCAACTGTGTTA